TGCTGCAAAATGTAGTCCCACAGAATTATCGTCTTGACTTTGATATCAGACGTTAAAGAACATCACCAACATACACGTATGTACGAACATTCACCAAAATACGAACGTTCACACACGAACACAAATGTTAACTGCCTATGTCCTTTGTAAATGTTTGTTTAATACATATATTTGTTTATATCGGTCTTGTTTGTTTGTCTTCTTTATCTTCAGTTGGACTTAATCCGAGTCCGACATTTTCATATTGTAGCTGGACCTTCCAGCAGGAAATATAAATGGACGTGTTTTCTTTACATCTTCACCCCCCCCCGGTCCTCTACATAATGGTGACCGCCGACGTGATTTTGCGAAGGAAAGCCAATAGTCAACATAATGGTCCACTACAAAGTCTTTCTTATCATATAAAAATAAAAGTAAAGGGGTTGCTCATTTTATCCACCATTAATCGTGCTTGAACATAAAATTTGGCATCTTCACACACCTCTAAGTAGTAGCAGACTTAACCCTTTGTAAGTCAATCATAAGTTGCCATGAACTCAATTTTTAGTGATTCATCATTGCTTTCTGCCTTTTATTCAACACCTGAGAAATAACAGACTAAAATACTTTTATAATTTTTAATAAGCTAGTATCGTTTCCACATTACCTACCAGGCTCCATGTTTAAACGTCTAATGAGTCTCAAGTTCACTCCAGACCTCAAGTGGAACTCATATACACAATTCAATGTTTAAGATGCTGGAAAAATGGTCGTCTCATTTTATCCCTTCAGGAATTACCTGACTCTTTCTTCCATACTTTATCTTTACAAGAGTCAGATTAGACACAAAATGGAGTATTTCTGTCATATCTGGACTGGAGCTACTCAAATATCAATTTTCAAAATTGTTTACTCGCTCTTGCGGGGTACTCCACTATGAAGCTTCTTTCTCGCAGGCAGAACACCACAAGCTTATCGCTACTTCCATGGCAAATATTCAGATGATTTCCATTCTTTAGTACCACCGGTTCAGACTTTTACAGTTAAGACTCGCTATACTACTTCTACAGAGTCGAATCAGTCTTATTTTCTCCGTATTCTAAAGACAAGGAGAAAGTTAAGCTTAGCTTTTTTTCTCAAGAACAAACTCCCGCGTGGATAATTTCCTGAACACTTCAAGTCAATTGACAATCGTTATCTATCCTCCTTATACCCATAATCTTCACTTCCTATTACATCCCCTCATATCATAACACCTCATTCATCATAACCATTTTAATAATAACCCTCTACTTGAGTAGCTCTTAAGCCTTGTATTAGGTGAACATTAGTGTGTGTGTGTGTGTGTGTGTGTGTGTGTGTGTGTGTGTGTGTGTGTGTGTGTGTGTGTGTGTGAAATGTTGGTAAATTTAATACCATTTAGAGAAGGATAAAGTTATTTGTTCTGCAATAACCAAAAAACAGTTTATATTTATTAAAAAACAACACTACAGGCTCCAGGGGAAAAAAACAGCCCAAAATGTAATCTAAAATAAAATTAGAAATTTGCGAAAACATATCACGAGGTATAAAACTAAAAAACAATTTTCAACCAATTGGTGTTTATTTGTATAAATTTAAAACCTTCGAATTTGCATTCTTTGCAAACGAATACGAGACTTTGTAACATCATCTAAAAAATACCAGTTTTTCTACGCGAAGAGATTTCACCCAAAGACACGGTTAGAGATCAAAAGACTTACCGACAATTGAAACTAGATTCCAGCTTCTTGAAGTCGATACGTTTGTACTTTTTATCTCGTGTAAAATGCGAGTAATGACATTTATGTACGAACGTTTGCTATATCAGACACATCATCTACGAACATTTAAAATAATAAAACAGTTTACTGTGAATAGATAGACCTGCAGAAAAATAATCTACACGCCCCTACATATAACATTTTATTGTAAATATGTAATTAAATTTCAGTTTTAAATTGTATCACAATTACTGGAATTTTATAAACTATATTGTGGCTATGACTAATTACTAACATCGCTATATATCAAAATTAAAATATTTTTTCATCATTACTTAGACCACAAACAATAAATATTTTGTGAATTTCTAACTGGAGCACTCATTAAAAATAACTGAAATTATATGATATAAAAATAGAAAGGAACTGACGTCTAAGCCTTGTGTTGATGAAAGAGAAACGCAGCACTGGTAAAAAAGTTAAGAGAAATATAATATGGTTATATCCTTTACTCGTACAAACTAGACATGCTTCAGAAGAGAAATGAATAAGATTCATAAATTATATTTTTTTTTGTTTTTGTTTTTTACGTCACATATTTCATTATAAGCAGTGTGAAGCGAGACCAAGTGATATTTCAGATCAATTACTGGTTGGATAAACCTTATTCCATCACATTTGCATTGAGAGAAAAAAAAAACAACTGAAATACCAAGCCTAAATCAAAAGTATACCTGCACTTGTACATTTGTGCAGAGTTTATGGGATATTAATATCAATTCCGTCTTCAGTTGTCAAAAAAAAAAAAAAAAAAATTTAAAATAGTTTAAGCCATTGTAATTTTTTTATCTTACTGGCGTTTATCTGCAATAATGTCTTCTGATTATCTTAATATAAAAGCACAAAGATGATAACAAAATATTTAAGCTAAGCTCTAAGCCAAAACCAGATAAAAATGTTTAAAAATCATCCTCACCATTTGGATGCATTACCCACGCTTTGAAAGTAATGCTTCCTATTTTATTACGTTGGCCAACAACGTCAGAGATAGAAGTTGGTTGTATGGCACAAAAGACTGAACCTTCCTGTCATCATTCTTTTCACTTTGTTAAAAATAACAGTCTGACATGGAAGTATAAAAACACATACACAAAAACAGAAAAGAAAATTCAAAACAAATGCGTGTCATTTAATTTCTCCACACGGAAAACGCTTGCACTCATTAATATTCATCGATAATTCCTGAACATTTATGAAGACCAAACAGTAGATAGGAGGACAGTTCGACGATGGCTAATGCGTTTCGTCAGTCGCCACGTTGCGGGCGACCTTGTACAGCTCACAAATGGAAGAGTGCTGACGAAAATGCCTAACCAACCGTGATGATAATGTGAAATATGTTTTGAAGTTGAAAAAACTAAGATATATAACGTTTGTAGATATAAATATAGTAAGCATAACAATCAACACTACATAGGGAAATTTTTGGCAATAACATATTTAGGTACCTCCAAAGATTCGCTAAAAAATGACCATACATGATGAAAGCATACCCCAAACTTAATAAAAATAATATTTTATCGTCAAAATATTTATGTTATTATTAAGAGGAAAAACCAAGTTTTTTTATTATTAAATTATATTTTTAATCCTTTTTTAAAATCTTCAAAATTTTGGTTATTTTTTTCTTGCGTAAGCGGGGGTACCATAAATGAGTATTGGAAATTTTAGCGTCTTTTTGCCGTGAAAAATACATCGATTTGGAAATTTTTGCAAAAATCAAATAATTGTTGGATTTTAATGAAATTTTCAGGACTTATTCACAAATGAATGAAGTTATTTTAGAAATATTTTCTTTTTAGAAAATCTTGGTAAATTATATTTTGTACATATGTTACCCCCATTTATTTAAATTCATGAAGTTTCGAGAAATTCAATTTTGTGCCGTTTAATATTTATATTAGTTATGATCAAAAGTCTTTAGAGAATTTAAATTATCATTTTTTTTCTAAATCAGGATCCCCAGTTGCCGAAAATCTGCTCTGAATTGTAAAATAAAAAATGTAATAAAACTAAGACATTATTTAATTAGAAAAGTTTTTAATTGTTTTTTATGAATAAAATGTATTTTTATGGGTATCATTGACTTAAGAAAAAAGTTTTTTTTCGTTGAATACTGAAGTTTTATATGAATTGTTTTCATTTTTCAAATAAAATAATAAAATAATTGATAAAATTTTAAATCTTTTAAAATTCTGTATTAATTTATACCGGTTAGGTGATATTGTAATTAAGTAAAAAATATATTTACTAATCATAAATATAAAAGTTAACTACAGTTCGGCCACTGCCAGTATTTAAAAAAAAAAAAATTCTGTGCGTGTGTGTTTAAGCGTGCTGATTTTTGTAAATATCGATGTTCATACACAATGTTCTGTTCTGTGTACAACAGACCTACTAGCACCCATCTCCCTTTATCGGCCCCTTTGCTTGGGGTCTTCTTTCTGACCCTACACCGGTTGAAGGTTCCCGGTGCTCAGCCTCTATCTAGTTTAGCTGCCCCCAGCACGGCCACATGGCATGCCCCCAGCTTGGCCGCATGGCATAGTTTTCATCCTTTAAATATCTCGTCATTCTTGGACATCTCCGGTAAGAACTATCGCCTTTCTTCCTTCCTATTATGGAATTATTTAATGCAAGCATTATTTTTTAGTATCATTTTCTTCCTTAAACGAACTTTGTTTACCTTCTCACCACGTGCGGAACCTCCACCTTTCCTCTCTGAACTCGACTGTTACTCAGCATAATTTGTATTCTTTTTCTTTCTATGAGTATTTCTTATGTTCAAATGCTTCTATTCTGTAAGCTTATCGTACCTACAACTACTTAAGGTCTTAGTAAATACTCACCTTCATTTTGTATTTCTGTATTTCTGAAGAAACGTGTTTTTATTTTCTTTCAGTTTTACCTTTGTCGACTGTCAATAAACCTGTGTCTAAAACATACTATGTCTCAGAGTCTTGATTGTCGATGAGAGTTTATGCTAACTGTCTCTAGGGTTGTGTACATTTCAACGAAATACACGCATCCCGGAGACAGTATAGTAAAACGGAGTCCCCTAATGGTCGGATATTTCGTGGTCTACACCAACCGTCGGAACTACGGACGCAACACCAACAACAGTAGTGTCACACAGTTCGCTTGAAAAAACTATCCTCAATATAACGAAGCTATTCTTTCGGCCTCTCTTCTACCACGAATCATCCTTTTTTCTTAACAATGGCAGACAACGTGTCAAATCGGTCAAGGGACTCATGCCTCTCGCTACTCTCGGTCTTCCAGCAGATCGTCTACGGCGGCTGCTGCTGCTATCGCCAAGCTAGGGCCGAAGCAGCCAAAACACGTTTAGCTTTCATCGACAAGGAGCTAAAAATAAGGATGGAGTTGGAGAAACTACAGATTGAAAAGGAGACGGCTGCTGCCGTAGCTGAAGCAGAAGTTCTTAGGGAGGCTGCCGACGAGCTAAAAAGAACGGTCCAGCTGCAGTCACTCAAAACTCGACTGCACTCCCGCTGACCCTAGCACACGGGTCCGAGAATACTTAGCCGACCAAGCAAGCCAACCGAAAAACAAGAGATGACTGGACTCCAACCACCTGTTAACGAAGAAATCGTTCAGGGGATACCAGTATGGTCGGTTCGAACGCGGAGACCGACTTCTCCCTCATAGGCCAGGAGCCCAGACAGACCTACCCAAACAACCCCACCTATTATCAGCTATCACTCCCCTAACTCACGTGTCGAAGACACCGAACCTCCTAACGACCGGTACCCCACCAACACCAGGGACGCCTCCCAGTCTCAATATACCTCAGACCTTGTGAGGTACTTCACCCGGCGGGAACTCATCACTACTGGACTGCCACCTTTTAACGATAGACCTGAAGACTACAGAGCATGGAAGCGGTCTTTCCAGAGTGCCATCAGACACCTCGGTCTCACATACAGCGAGGAAATGGACCTCCTCGTAAAATGGCTTGGTAAAGAGTCAGGGGAACATGCAAGGAGGCTAAGGTCAGCCCACCTGAACCACCCAGAAAGAGGGCTCATGAGAATATGGGCCCGACTCGAGGAGTGTTACGGGGCTCCTGAAATGATAGAGGATGCTCTCTTCAAACGAGTAGACGACTTCCCCAGACTGTCAAACAACGATTTTCCTAGACTTAGGGAACTCAGCGATTTAGCTACCGAACTCTTGTCAGCCAGGGAAGATGGAAACCTTCCTGGCCTCGCCTACCTGGACACTGCTCGAGGGCTCCGCCCCTTTATAACCAAACTACCATCCTCACTTCAGGACAGATGGCTGTCTGTTGGTTCCGAATATAAGGAGCGGCACCAAGTTACGTTCCCTCCTTTTAAGGTATTTGTAAACTTTATTACACAACAAGCTAGGATAAAAAATGATCCAAGTTTCAAGGTCAATTCACTGGTGGGTAGGTTCCCCTCACAAGAGAGCAAACAAAGGGTGGTATCGGTGAATAAGACCGAAGTGTCCCCCACAGTTTTCAACACCACGCGTCGGCAAAACAAAGATGACAACGACCCCACCCAATATTGCCCATTACAAAAAAAAAAAAAAATTCCACTCACTGTTGAAATGCCGCGCCTTTCGAGAGAAACTCTTGAAAGAGCGTGAGACTTTTATAAGAAACAATGGCATCTGTTTCAAATGTTGCTCCTCCACAGCACACATAGCGAAATTCTGCAGAATGAATATTACATGCAATGAGTGTAACAGTGAAGAACACAACACTGCTCTCCATCCAGGACCACCACCTTGGCCCATCAGCATAAGATCCGCTGCAGAGAACGGCGGGGAGGATAACCCCCCTATGGCTACTGGAGTGGTTTCGCAGTGCACACAAGTTTGCGGTGGTGACCTCTCAGAAAAGTCGTGCTCCAAGATATGCCTCGTCAATGTTTACCCTGCAGACCAACCAGACAAAACAGTGAGGATGTACGCCATCATCGATGAACAAAGCAACCGGTCTTTGGTACGCTCAGACTTTTTTGACACATTTAAAAATGATGGGCCCAGTTTCCCCTATTCCCTTAAAACTTGTGCCGGAGTTATACAAACCATGGGAAGAAGAGCGTCAGGCTTCCAGGTGGAATCCTTAGACGGGAAAAACAGCCTTCCACTTCCAAGTCTCGTCGAATGCGACAAAATACCCAACGACAGGTCCGGCATCCCAACTCCTGAGGCAGCCCTCCACCACCCACATCTGAGAAAAATAGCACACCTCATCCCCACCGTGGAGCCTAAAACTCCTATAATGCTCCTTCTGGGGCGTGACATTCTAAGGGTACACAAAGTGCGCCAACATATAAAAGCCCCATGATGCCCCATATGCACAGAAACTGGACCTCGGATGGGTCATAGTTGGCAATGTCTGTTTAGGGAAATTTCACCCACCCACCATAATAAACACATTGCATACACATATATCTGATGGGGGACGCCCTACCCTTTTCGAACCGTGCCCGAACAGATTCGAAATTAAAGAGAGCTTCAGCATCAGCAAGAGGCCATACTCTACCGAGATGGAAGACCACCTATTTCAACGGACCAAGGACGACGAAAGGGCGGCGCCTTCTATTGAAGATATCGCCTTCCTGAACATCATGGAGCTGGGAGCCGAGAAAGACAAAGACAACAGCTGGGTTGCTCCTCTACCCTTTAGATCTCCCCGACGTCGTCTCCCCTTATAACAGGAAACTGGCAGAGAGTCGACTTTCTTCACCGAGACGTAGCCTCGATAAGAAACCTGCGATACAAAGACCCTTTACACGTAGGGGCGTTTTATCGACCCTCAACAGTCTGTATGACCCCTTGGGATTTGCTGCCCCCGTCACCATTCAAGGAAAGTTAATCTTTGAGAGCTAACCCATGAAAACAGCGAGTGGGACTCACCTCTCCCTCAAGAAATGCACAAAATCTGGTCTTCATGGAGAGACTCCTTGGAAGCGCTAAACGAGGTCCGAATCCCTAGGGCCTTCACAAACATACCACTCTCAAAAGCAGTACATAAAGAGCTGCACATCTTTTCCGATGCATCGACCAAAGCCATCGCTGCAGTGGCCTATCTCAAGGTCACCGACGATAAAGGAAACAACCAAATTGGCTTCATCACGGGGAAAGCGAAACTTGCCCCACGACCCGAACATTCAGTTCCCAGACTGGAGCTCTGTGTCGCCCTCCTGGTAACCGAACTGAGCGAACTAAACACCTCCTCAGACCCGTTGCCAGGATTGTCCTTCTCTGTGACGAGAACTAGCACATTCCTTGACGTCCAAGACGTCAGGCGGGGAGTGTTCTGTTCTGTGTACAACAGACCTACTAGCACCCATCTCCCTTTATCGGCCCCTTTGCTTGGGGTCTTCTTTCTGACCCTACACCGGTTGAAGGTTCCCGGTGCTCAGCCTCTATCTAGTTTAGCTGCCCCCAGCACGGCCACATGGCATGCCCCCAGCTTGGCCGCATGGCATAGTTTTCATCCTTTAAATATCTCGTCATTCTTGGACATCTCCGGTAAGAACTATCGCCTTTCTTCCTTCCTATTATGGAATTATTTAATGCAAGCATTATTTTTTTAGTATCATTTCCTTCCTATAAACGAACTTTGTTTACCTTCTCACCACGTGCGGAACCTCCATCTTTCCTCTCTGAACTCGACTGTTACTCAGCATAATTTGTATTCTTTTTCTTTCTATGAGTATTTTTTATGTTCAAATGCTTCTATTCTGTAAGCTTATCGTACCTACAACTACTTAAGGTCTTAGTAAATACTCACCTTCATTTTGTATTTCTGTATTTCTGAAGAAACGTGTTTTTATTTTCTTTCAGTTTTACCTTTGTCGACTGTCAATAAACCTGTGTCTAAAACATACTATGTCTCAGAGTCTTGATTGTCGATGAGAGTTTATGCTAACTGTCTCTAGGGTTGTGTACATTTCAACGAAATACACGCATCCCGGAGACAGTATACACAACATTATCAAAAAATAAGCTGTTAATTATAGTACATTTAACGCCAAAGTGTTTAAAATTTGTAGTGGACCCCCTGGAGGGGCGCGATATAACATAGCCTGTGAACCCCAATGAGTATGAGTCACAAGAGACTCACTAACATTTTAAATTAAAAATGTGAAATCTGACAGGTGAAACAAAAATGGACAACAGAACAACAAACTTAAAATTTAATACAAAATTTATTTAGAATATAGAGCAGAGTCCTTGTAGGTTAAATTAGCATATAAGTCCACAGTTAGAAAGCTAAGTTCACATGTCCGGTGAAAGTGTTCAAAAGTTGCTGGTTAAGTCCATTGATGAACCTTCCATAGTATTTTAACCGAAGTGTACGGAGTAGGTTATTTGAAGTCTGGACGATATAGCCAAAGAGAAGAAAGTTCCGTCTAAATGTCTGGTGCTGGCGTTGCATAGTTGCTGGTCGAGTCCAATGTCCGGTGCTGGCGTTGAGTAATTACTGGTGAAGTCCAATGGTGAACCTTCTCTAGTGTTTTAACCGAAGTGTACTGAATAGGTTGTTTGAGTCTGGACGATTCGCATACAGCATTTTCCTAAATCAGGTGAGTTAGGTTGACAGGAAAGCCGGGACCATGGTGTAGCCGGAAGTTCAGGGCTGTTGTAAGTAGGTCCTTTAACGCAGATCAACCGAATGAGTTAGGTGGAGATAAGGGGCGGAAGTAATGATGGACAGGAATGCCGGAAGTCAGAGTCTGTGGTAGCTGGGAGTAAAGGTCCGTAGTAGCCAGGAGTAATAAAGGGCAAGAGTGCCGGAAGTAAGAAGGGATAGGAAATCCCAACTAGCGTCCAGTTGGAAGACAAAAATAAATGGGAATGTTACTCAATACATAATTCGTCCAAGCGCCCTAGCAACAATAGCCAGGGGGCATGCGTTTCTCCCCTCCTCCTCCTCCTCCTCATCCTCTCCCCTGGTCCTGCAAAGTACTAAAAATCTGAAGAAAAATAATTAAAAGGTGCTACGAAATATAAAAAATATAAAAATGTTCACAAAGTGTATTCCAACTAGGTTCCTAACACTGAAACAACTGAAAAGTCATTAGGGTTATCATGAAACTAAATGAACTTAAATTGAAGGGTGTGTACGACGCAATGAAAAAAAGGTCAAGGTCATAAAGATATGGCGTCAGCCCTTGATCACGTGAACGGAGTAGCGAAGGGCTACTATAAATTCAATAAAACATTAGCCAAATATAATAAGAATAAGAAGGGTTTACTGGAAACAGAAATGCTACTTACACGAAGCATCATGTAACAACATAAAAATATACATATAGTACAACACTTGGCAACAAACACGTGGAACATCCAAAAAAAAGATAAAAAATAAAAATAAATAAATAAAATAAAATAAACACAAGCAAAACACACTAAAAATAAAATGGAAAATAAGAAAAACAGCAACTGCTTCCAACATCTCAAAATTTTGCAATGTTTGCCTAGTGGAAAATAGCAACAATAACATTACCAGAACTATATAGACTCATAAACAAAAAGTCAGAGCTTATTATGAAATGAAAACACGAAACAAGTTAATACTATACTAATTACAACCACATTACGACTCCAAAGATTAAGCATCTAATAACCCATAACTTAAAACTAATAAACTTCATTTCAAAACTAAACATCAGAAAACTAGAATTAACCGGATTCTCTCTTTCTCCATTTCCCATAAGCCCTCGATTATATGCAGAGACTAAACAAAGAGGAGTAAGTAATGGTGCGATGGTCGTTCAAAGCATAAAACTGACATCATCATGCAGTGTTAATTTCTAGGTCTACACACTGTTTTTGTCTGTCTCTGTCTAAATAGAGAAAGTGAAAAAACATTTATGTTTTCAGATTTTATCATGTCTGAACTGTTTGCTTATGGAAAATATATTTGATTCGAAGCAATCGAAATGTTCCAATATTCACTTACCTGGAACTGACTTTGCAATTTTGCTTTCATTCTGTGAGTTTCAACATCCTCATAGCAACTTTATTTTAATAACGAATTCCAGAAAAAGAAAGTCGTTTTAATTTACATAAATAAAACGGGGGCCAAGAATGTGTTTGATAATGGTTTAATTTCAACTCAATGAAAGTCAAATGTTTTTCAAAGGTCAAATTCTTAGAATATATTCAATTTTTAAAATATAACCAAAATTATTTTTCTTTGTTGTTTTTCAAAATGTTCGCATGTCATTTAAATAAGAATAAACATATTTTTTTAAATTGTTGTTTTTAACCAGAATTAGCGATCGGTAAAAGCGTCGTGTAATGGACTTGTAGTGGATCTAAGAAGGTTGCGTGAATATTTAAGATTGTGCTGCAAATAAAATATGCAATATCCACAAACAAATTATAAGATATGGCCAAATAGTAACGATATTCAATCACGATAAAAAATACATGTTTGAAACAACTGATTAAATTTTATATACACAATTTACAATTTCTTTGTAATGATGTATGCAAAGGTATATTTTAGAGAAAAAGTTCTTTGCTGTTTCGGAAATGTTCAATGTCTAAAAAGTTATCTGCCTTTGATTAAAAAGGTTGAATTTAACTTAGACAAAAGATTTTTTATGAAAGATATTGAGTGAAAAAGTTTGTTGTGTAAATTTTTCTAATCTCTCATAAATCTCATAATCTCTCATAAATCTTCTTTGGCGGCACATAATTTCCGTGTGTATCTTTCGCGTGTGTGAGTATCAAATGCGACGAAAATTCGTTTACTATTTCTATTTATAATTTTCTTAACAACGAAATCGGCTCCAACGGGGCTTGGTAGATGTTGCGAATTTTTCTGAGCAATGCGTGGGCGAATGTTGTATTTTTTGTTTTTAGCCAATAGGATTTCTTGAAACATTTAAATTAGGGATGAATTTGAGAAAGATTTTTTTTTTACGTCGGTTGAGCCTATTTTTGCACAAATTTTAACTGTTTTGCTATGGACATTTCTCGAAGCTTATTTTTATTTAACAACCAATGAAATTCGAGAAAATGTTTAAACTTGAAATGAACGTTCCTAAAGACTTTGAAAAAAGAAAAGTAGCAGAAAAATTCAAATAAAAAAACTTTGTATTTTTCCTTGATTTTTATTTAATACTCGTTTCATTTTAAATGAGATATAATGGTTCATGGTCAGTGAGACTCATTAATATATTAGCACCCGTCAAAAAGAAAATTAAAATCCCCCAAAAGAGCTTTCCTTCTTCTTAAACACGGTGTAGAGAGAAAAGTGTTATATGATGACTAATTGAAGTCAGATTTTCAATTTTTATTTTCTTTAAATTTCACCACTTTGAACTTTATCAATCATGATATATTCATATCATGATTTTAATTTACATAAAATACTATTAATGTAAAAAATCTAAAATCAATGTCAAATAAGAAATAATATAAATATTTTAGTGGTGTTTCAATTCAGTTACGTTTTTTAAAAAAATACGCGATTATTACTGATTAGAAACATTATAAATGTTAGCATTGTTTTCTGTCTACGATGTTCAGAGCATTTATAAATAATAAAATTTGCCGATATTGCTAGAGGTCTGTGCTAGAGGTTTCCTCGTATTATTATTGAAAGTTAAATTAAAGAATAAATCTTATTCATTATTAAATTCATGATCCTTTTTATAGCCTGGTAAAATAACTTTCATGCAATTTTATATTTTTTGTATATTCTCTGTACATTGTACAGATTAAATTTTCATATAGATGAGAACTTTCTTTGTAATTTGATAATTTCCGCAGATGACGTACATAAGGGAATAACTACTTAAAGTCTACGAAAATGTCATATTCAACTGAAATTTTGGCACAGGATTCAGTGATTCACAATGACATGGTTGTATGTCGTTTGTTGCTATTTATACGAGACACAAGTATTGCCTTGTGAAAATAAAAATGTATAATATACTTAAAAAAAACTAAAGCAAATTTTTATCCATCATTACTTCTTATACTTAGGATGTGCATAGAAAAAGAATTATAGAATTTGAGGATATTAATTTTACATAATAAGAACAGAATAATGACCTGGAAACATATTGCAACGAAATTATTTTACGTTTGCATAATTTTTCACTGCTTTTCTGTAAATTAATTGGCTCTGCTTCCTTAACTATTACGTAAGAATGTAGATTATTACACCGATAGACACTATAATAAGAGGGACACTTATCGATTTCCAGCTAGCTAACCACTAAATTAACCAAGTACGAGATCAATAAGTATTCATTGTAAACGTAAAATTCTAAGCGATCTGGCAAATGTCGCGAAAACCGAATACGTCGAAGCATTTTAAAGCAAAAAACAAAACAAAAAAAAACAGCACCGGTCATTGCTCACTTCATTTCAGGTTTTGTATGAGTGACGCCACTAAGTTGTAGGCTTGTGGCTTTACAGCGTAGACACTCCCAAGTTTTGGTGCTCAATATCTCAGAGATTTCGTTTCAGTTAGGTTTGTTTTTTTTTTATGACGAATTCATTTA